TTAATAAAGTATTTGTTTATTATACGAAAACTGTCTTTCATTTCCACAAAAAAAAACGAAATGACTTTCCGAACAACCCTGTAGAACGACTCACATCATTAACTATTTGCGAACAGTAATCTAGTCTAGAAGAAAACGTGGTTGAAAAAATATATTCCAAACGCCCACCAAATTATGCACCTTCACTTGTGCGACATGAAAACAAAAAATACCACAAAGGAATGTGTCATTTCTACATTCGATGAATTTTTTGCCTTGCCTGTACATAAGTATAGACTACTACTACTATTGCAGCATGCACTAAAAGTGTGGACCACGAAGAAGCAGATAGCAAAGCTAATGTATGAATTATTCATTTTGTGCCTGATGTGGTTATATATAGAGTGTATCAGATGCTTATTGCAAGTGGCATTTTTATATGATTAATGTGTAGTCAACATATTTATTTTTAATCATTGAATAATTACGAATACAACCTGTTAGTTTTATCTGTATTTTTATATGGCTCTATGTCTCCTAAAAGAAATACAATATTAATCGTTCTCTTTAAAAGGTATCGCTTGTTTTATGATTTTGAATAAAACAATATTTCCGCACGTTTGACTTTGATGCAATTGAATTTTGCAAATATGTATCTACAATACACTCATTTTATCGTTCTTTGTTTCTGAAAATATTATTCGAAATCAATTTAATGCTGTTTTTATTTTTATTTACCGAAAAGGAAGTAATAGACAACGACTTAATATAAAATGACGTTTATGTCTCGGTAGCAGCAAAAAATAAGGATGGAATATGACACTCTTAAATTTTTATTGAGAAAATAAAAAGATCGCAAAAATACAGACAGATAAAAATGTCATGCATTTCAGATTTAATAAGACTAAACGTTTTTCGTTTACATCTAAAGAAATTTTTAACTACTGTCTTATCAAATCTAGGATATTAATTGAAAAACAACCTATCATCCAAAGATAAAAATGTTCATTCTCTCAGAGTCTCTGAAAGCGAGACTCGAGTCTCCGTCTCTAATCGAGTCTTTCTGGTGTGTCTGAGAGACTGTCGAGAGACTGTCAAAAAAACTGTTTAGCGTCTCTGAACGAGAGACTCTGATTATTGAACCAAGGACTCGAATCTCTCAATAAGAGGTGTCTCGATAGACGTGGTTAAAAGTTCAACATATTTCAGAGATCCCAGTCTTTCCACGATAGACTTGAGTGTCTCAATTTTTCAGTTTTATTCATTCAGTCTCTCTGTGAGAGACTCGAATCTCTGAACTAACAATTTTATCGTTCGAGTCTCTCATACAGAGACTGTTTAGAGATCCATAAAAATACCTAGGTAATAACTAAGAGACTGTGAAAGACTGTGAGAGACGCTCTCAGAGACGCTGAAAGACTGAAAGATTCTGAGAGACTGGAGAGGGACTGAAAATTTTTGTCTAGGGATTAGAAATGCAAATGTGATAAAATTTTAATAACTTAAAACTTCCTTAGTTGAACAGTAATTGTGTTGAAGGCGATCGATTTTATAAGGAAATAGTAGTTTTTAATGAATCAATTGTATGTGTAGTTTATTAAGTGCAGGTACATATAATCTACGTATTCATATGGTGTGACTTTATGTTTACTTCTTTTTGTTTGTTTCTTGTAAATTTTTTCAATTTAATCAATTCAAGTAGAAATATAAAACATTAATTATATAGTTGCGATAGCCCTATTATATTTTAGCGGTCGATAGTAACTTACAAAAAAATTATAATGCTTTACACTGCTTATTTTGTATTCTATAGTTTCCCATTTATTTCAACAAAATTGCGATTTCGCGAAGCAATCATTCAACACGGTTCTTGCTAAAAATTCATTTCTATACATAATGGGATTTCAAATTGTATCTTGCGAGGCACAATAAAATTTTACATTATCAAAAAGTATTACAGTATTTCACATAAGCTGGTTAGTACTAGAATTTGTCGAAAACTGAAAACATGAAATGTACCACATGGAACTGTGTCTTGCAATACATAGTGTCTCATTTTACACTTGCTTGTAGTGCCTCGTCATACACAGTGCCTGGTCATACACAGTGTCTTGCCATGCACAGTGTCTTGCCATACATAGTATCTCGCCGTCCATTATGTCTTGTCATGCACAAGGTCTTGCCATTCATAGTGTCTCGTCAAGCATAATGTTTTGCCATGCACAATATCTTGACATGTTCAGAGTCTTGCCATACAGATTTTCTTCTCAGATTTTGCTTCCTAGGTGCTCAAATTTTACTTCCTAGGCACTAAAAAGTATCGAATCAAAAGAATTTAATGAAACAAGTACTTACATAATACAGCAAACCGCAATCAAAAATGTAAAAGGATTAGCAAAATTACGGGAAAAGTTCTTAAATTGCTGGAAAGTGTGGAATCTATTTATTTATTACATTACTGTCGTCAACGTGATTCTTCACGGGGGCACATTCTTACATTTAAGCACACTTGAAGCATCCAGCTTTAATAGAAGAAACTGAAAATGGTACGGTCATTTTCTCCGAGTTGAGCACTAATGATCTAGCAGATTATTTTCAGAAGTGTTCACATCACTCAGAAAATGAGCATCTCGATGGTAGAAATGCGCGACAGTTGTAACATTGACAGAGACAAAATTAATTTTGCAACTACAACAACATATTACACCTACCTGCACTTACCAGACGTTTATACGTTTGTGTGCCTGTGTGTGTTATCATGGAACGATGCTACCTATCTGCCTGCATCAATTAGAGAATTGAACAAGAATTTACAGGAATGAATGCTAATTTCATTATCAGAACTATTACAACTATTGGAGCATAAATTACTATTTGTTCAGTCGCAGTGAAGCTTCAAATTTAGCGAATGTATTTTACTATTTCTGACAACGAAAGGGAACAGAAATAAATCTAAAGTTTATCATTCATATCACTTATACTATTTGTAATATTCATATGCTTCTAATATATTATTAGTAATAGAAAAATTTACGAGGCTTTTAGTTTTTACAATGCCGTTACAATAACAAAGGAATGGTGGTTTTAATTTAATTATTTATGAAAACAAGCATGCATGCACTTCTTTTAGTCACAGTGGCAAGGTGAGCTTTTTTTAGATGTTTTTGATTTTTCTCAACCTATAGACACACGCAATATTATTTGATACCATTCACGATCATATCTAGGAATTAAACATCTTCGCGCAAAATTTCACAAAATTACTTGTATTCGTTAAAGGTATATGTTTGGAGCACGGTATTGTATGGGTGCGAAACATAGACAGTGGGCGCGGCGGAAAAGAAAAGGTAAGAAGCCTTCGAAATGTGTTATAGGCGGATGATGAGGATATCGTGGGTAGAAAAGGTTAGAAATGAAGAGGTATTAGAAAGAATAGGAGAACAGAGGACTCTATGGAAGTCAATAAAAAATAGGCGAGATAGGTTGGTAGGACACCTTCTTAGGCATGAAGGTTTAGTCAGAGACATATTAGAGGCAGAAACAGGAGTTAGGAGGGGTAGAGGTAGACCTAGATTAGATTACTGTCCGCAAATAGTTATGGATGTGATTTGTTCTAGTTTTAGGGAAAATGCGAAGTTTATCTCAGGATAGGAAAGAGTGGAGGTACGTGTCCAACCAGTCTTAGGACTAACGACCTTATGATGATGATAACTTGTATTCATAAGGCATTAACAATAAATGATTAAGAAAGAGAAGTTGTATTAGCAATTTCCTGTTATGTGGTATCTGGACCAACTGAAGGGACTGATGACACTGTTGATGAGAAATACACCGAACTATTCCAAAACTGTTCACTTAATGAGTTCCGGATAATAGATTACTGCAAAAACTTTTAATTAATTAATTAATTAATGTTCGGAAGTATTGTAAAATTATTAGATATTTTATTTAATGCAAGCAGTAAATCCATTAATCTTCTGCAATACTTATCTACTTTTTTATATTTAAATTAAAGCACTACACTCAATTCACTTAATTATACTGGGCGTTACTGAAACTGTTGGCCAAAATTCACCAACATGATCTATGAAACTAAAAGCAAACCATTTGGTACCCCAGCCCATTTTATTTTTCTTGTCAGGTAATTCTTTAATAATCCGTTTATTTTTCGTCTCATGCATTCCATATACATACTTCGCACTTGTCAACTGTTCTCACTTCATCCCCCTTTATTATATCTCTGTATCTTATTTTCACCCTTTTTGCTTTAGACATAACCACCCTTATCCATTCATTTAATTGTTCCTGATTCAACTTTATCCCTGAAAGCTTCCTCTCTTTATCGTTTCTATTTTTTTATACCAGTTTTTAAGGTTCTCTTTCTACACACCTCCCTTATTTTATCTCCCTCTTTTAACTTTTCCAATTTCATCTCATATTTAACAACTGTCTTCCTTGTTTCCTCCACTATCTTTCCAGATTTTAACTCTCTCCTAACGACATAATCTGGTGTACTTTTATTTATTGACATTAAAACCCCAATTTACGTATTTTTTATATGTTCTCCACTTGTTTCTGCTCTTTCCACCTCCTCCTGATGGACATGTCAAAAGTACGTAACTTTTTGTTCTAAAACCTTTTATTTTTATGGAAAATGAAGACATTTCCTCTTAATGAAAAAGGCAGTGGTATTTAATAGTAGAATATTTACTCGCATATCCACGAAAACTAAAGTGATAAACAAGGTACCGTTCCCTTAACATTTATTAAACAATACTCTAATAATTACATAGCACACCTATGAGAAGTAAAGTTGCTTTTTTTCTATTTGGTATAGAATCCTTAAAAATTAGTACTTAATACGTGTAAGTACACTAGCCATATTTACTTGTGTAACAAGTTGTTGTCGCGAATGTTTGTGGAATATAGGAGTCTGATGTAGATAGACGCGCAAGTCTGCGGTGCTTTCGAATTCTCGTACGCCGAGCACAGTCGTCCGGATAGCGGACAGACCTAGCAAACTAAATGCGATGCGACGTTAGTGTGTTGGATCTCGCGCGGTGGATACGCGATTCAACTGTTCGCACGACCGATGCGATATTAGGACGACCGGGATTATTCCGACAGCAAAGTGTAGTTTTCAATTATTTTTAAGTAGTGCGAGATAATTAATACGTGACAGTAATTCTTCTGGTAGTATATTGGTATTGTGCGGTGGTTTTTCTTCTTAATCGTCCGCTGATGTTTACAAGACGAGATAATAACGATGCTGTTGTTTGTTCGCGACAAGTGATCGCTACAAAGTGATGGTGGATCCACTTAAAGTTTTTTGGGTGCTTACCAACAGTACTTATCTAGGTCGGTAGTTTTTCATTTCTTATCAAAGTCGTGATTAATCGACAAATGTTTTTATAATGAAAGGAAGAAATGCGTTATTTTTATTTAAAGTACACCTATGTTTTTGTACTTTATTCAAACTTCCATGGTTATTTAAATTTCATTTATTTCTCTTTCCCATTCTTCATGCTACAATTATAATTAAGTATAACAAAAACAGAAAACGAAAACGTTCCCTGCTTATTATCTTACCCCTTCTTAGTTGTATTACATCAAATCAACAAAAAATTCTATAATTTCATCAACAAAACAAGATAACTTTTTTTTTCTTTTTACTTATTCCTACCTAATTCTAAACTTTTTTTCCTAACTATTCTTATATACCTTTCCTATCTCTTTTTCTTTTCTTTAAAATTTCTTTCAATATTGTCAGTCTCCCACCTTCTTCTAAAACAAGTCTTAACGTCTCATTGTCCTTTTCACATATTCTGCATTTTGTATCCTGTTCTTTTATCCAGTACTTGCTTTCATAACATTCATTCCCTATTCTAAATCTCGCTATTACCACTATATCGTTTCCTTCCCTCAAATATCCGGTAGTAAGTCCCCTTGCCACTGAATCCACAGAAATTCCCTTCCGCATATTTCCACTTCTTATACTCCTTAAACCTTCCCCTCTCGTTATTTCGTAACTCCTTTTCATTACCAAATTCCCTATATGCCTTCTTTCGGTTCTCCATTCCTCTAGTTGCTCCTGACTTATCATTATCTCTTTTAGGGCTTTTTCTTTCTCTTTAACATGTTTCTCCTCCATACCAATTGTCAATACTTTTTTCTCCATATATTTATTCGTAAAGGTATCCTCTTTCTGCAGTGCTCTTATTCTTCGTATGTTACTACTTCTCTTCTTGTTTCTTCTACCACCTTATTACATTTAATTTCCCTTCTTACAATATAATCAGGTGTACTTTTTTCTATGTTTAAAATCCACTTTATGTATTTCTCTTCTATATTTTCAAACGTCTTTTACTCCTTCCGTCTCCATACTTCAACCCCTTAAAATATTACACTTTTGATTATTAAATTAAATAATGTCATTCTTTGGTATCAATTATTTGTGCATAATTTTTACCCAATTTCCCAAATTCTTCCTAACATGTTGTTTGTTTTCTCTGTTTGATTTTCTATGTGTATCTCATCTTTATTATTCTCGCATAACAAACACCCAAGGTAGCTATACTTTTTAACTCTCTCAATTATGTACCTTTGCATGTTATCTCTTTTTTTCTTTCCCTTTTCTTTCTCTTACTCCCCAAATTCAAATTTTTCATGATATTGCTTTCAGTAGTTTTTGACAATTTATTTGAACTTTATTCTGCCTAACCAGGATGTACCTGTTACACGTAATGAAAGTTGTTTTAAAAAAGTAGTATTTTACATTTCGAAATTTGATTAAAGACGTCTTAAATTAACATATAATATTTGATGACACATCATGCCTATTTGTGCTGGTAAGGATTACAGGAATGTTTTTCTCTGATATCTCTGATTTGACATAACAAGCTTAATAATAGCTTATAAATTAGACGAAAGATCCGTGGGTAGATGTAAATATGAAATTAGATATTTGATCCCATTTATATAATCAGGGATAAATACCTAAAATATTTTCAAGGATACATCTACTTTCTTACGACATTATAACGAAACAATAAAAAGCTTTACAGTTGGATAGGCGTTTATTAATTCTTAAAAAGGTGTAAATTAGTTTCATTAAAATGATAAGTACTTAATTCATGTTCCGTACCCCAAGAGTCCTTCTGTCAGGAGCTTCTAACTTTCTAAACAACATGAGGTATGGAGTTAAAATTCAAATGCAGTATGTAAATAATTGACTTAGAGATAAAAATCGTATTATTTACGGTTATAAAAACGTTTATTTCAAGGGGGCATCATACCTGTATAGAAGCGGGGGTCAAAAATATTCTTTTACTTCTGCATCTGTTTGTGGAGTATCGATGGAGAGAGCTTTACAAGTAGATCACAAGTACCTATGCTTTTTTTTTTATTTTTTGACTTAAATTATCACTTTACACATAGGGGCCAATTAATTGATTCAATATCTAAAGGAATTTCTGACAATGAGTAAAATTATTATTGCATTTGATAGTTGCTTCCATAATATGAAATTATTTATATCCGTAATATTTTTTGGAAACACCTAAATGTTTTAAATTCAAACAGTTACTTCTTTTATTCTAGTTTTATACTAAAGTAAGTGCAATAAGTACGTTTATAAATCAACTTATATGCGGCATTTTTCAAGAAAATTGCAGTAGTAAAATGTAAATTATGACGAAATTACTAGAAAGACAAGTGGAACATTTCTGTTCTCATACGAATGGTTATCAGGTAGATGTAAAAATGGGAAATGTAAACGTCTTCATTGATAAAAATATGATTATATGATTTCTCAGAAAATAGAATATTCGATGATTAAATGAAATCCTTATTAATTTAACACGAAATTAAAGAAAGATTTGGAAATATTACTTGTCAATAAATATTGGCGTTATCATACCTGACCGCTTAATACTAACAGCACTATAACACAAAATAGAAAATGATTTTATTTAAATTGTATTTAAGTACTTCTATTGTTTATACAATTTTATACAATCAAGAAATTGCCTGCATATCCCAATTATTAAATTGTAGTACCTATTTGAATTAAGATCTCAATAAAATGTGAATTCTTAATATAAATTAAACGCAGTTAAAGTTTCTTTAATAGTTTCGTATATTCTCACATTTTTTCTTTGCATAACATTGTAGGTATGGTGAATGTTGCTCGTGTTTTTATGTAAAGAAACTGGTTCTTTATCACAAACAGATGTCCATTAGTCATGTTACGTATCTTTCTTAATATCTGCTATTATTGATAGTTTGCTCTTGTTATTCGACATAGAACGATAGGTATATGCCATAAAAAAGTTTTACAATGATAAGCGAGGTTTTTTTACGTGGCGTAAGTTAAATATTTTTAAATGGTTCTATTTTATTAGGTTGTGATCGTAAGTAAAAGTACTGATGGTTTTAAGAAGAATGTAATTTTGCTAAAATATACACAAAAAATAGAAAACGTAATAAGGAACATAGGCATTTCATTCATCTTTTCACATATTTTCTTAGCGTCGGGGGAAGAGTCTGGATATCCTGATATCTTCCTTGGAGCATTTATTATTCTAGAATTGAATCTCAAATAGATACCTTGTTTCAGAAAGTACTACAAACGGCACAGTGAACGCCATCTGTAGCACGATGCTACATTTTAGGATTACGTATTTAACCTTGTTAATTATAACATTTATATCATCATTAGTATGTTTTTTATGAAGAGTGTATAGGTATAGCCTGTTCAAAATTTGTTGATGGAAAATTCTCAGAAACTAGACAGGTCAATTCTCGGAACACAAGGGTATGCCCCGGTTTTCGCATATAAGCAGGGGCGTACGTTTAAATTTTCGTAATAATTGAGTTCGCTGGATAGATACTTCACGAAACACATTTCTATATATTTGAACAGGTAATTAAATACAACCCACATGTGTATTAGGAAATATTCTGTCAATTTTCTCGATTCTTGTATCGTGTTTTTTAATAATCGTTAAGAACAACACTGTTTTTATTCTTATTAGTTATTATTGATATATTACAAACCGTTTAAAATAATTACATTTCAGTTTGTGTTAATTAAAAATGTACACAGTGAACTTTCAATTATTACGAAGATGTAAATGTACGTCACTGTATGTATGCGAAAGTTTGGACAGACCCTTATGTTTCTAGAATTGACCTGTCCTATTTCTAAGAATTTTACATCAACAAATTTTGAACAGGCTCGATATACATACCCAAAGACTATAAAGGCGTTGTTAAAATATCAAAATTAGTATGTAATAAACCAATAGTTAAAATCATTAATGTTTTATCATTGAATTCTCAAAATAAAAAATTCGGACTTCGCCCAAAGAATCTGTTCAAATTTGAATAAGGCAACCTCCACATCTAAGCAATCACTACTTTTTCTTATCAGTAATTTAGTTTCCAAACACGAATCATTTTTCGTTAAAATCTTCATAATTTTCTAAATGTAGCCAGTAATCTTTTATTAGCATTTAATAAAAGCTGATCTCTCTTTGAACAAGTTTCCTAAGTAAAATTCTTTCTTACATAAGATACGACAATTTTTTATGTCTGATGTATTTAGTGGTTCTTTAAAGAAGTTCCAAGTAATAAAAAAGTTACATTTCAGTCGAGTTTTCCCTTTTCGTTTGAAAGGCTATTTAATGGAAATATAGAATTTCATCAGAATTTTTAAATTAATAGCGGTACTAACTGAGAAAACCAACCACATAGTTTACTTAATAATAAAAATGTTTTATTACTCAGTTTTACCTAAGTGGTTTTTAAACCAGACACAGTTATTAATCAAACATTAATGTGAAAATCCAATTTTAATTTTCTCGCACTACAAACTACCTCAAATTAATAAAGGAAAAATTTGTTGCTGTTGTCACATTAAGCTTAGTGGTCAGAGCATTGGTGCGTAAAGCCAAAGGTCCCGGGTTCGATTCCCGGCAAGGGTGTGACTACAGCAACAAAAATTTTCCCTTATTAATTTGAGGTAGTTTGTAGTGGAAGAAAATTAAAATTGGATTTTCACATTAATATTTGATATTCAACCCTATTAAATGTCAAAGTGTTTCATATTTATAGTATTAATACAGTTATTAATGTTATTAATCGATTATTGTATTCGAAATCAATCGATTTCTTGATTAATTAGTTTTAAATTAAATAAATCTGGTGCCCAACGTACTTGAACAATGTACCTATTAAATAAAATAATTCGAAGTGGTCTGTGTTCTGTCGAAACTGCCAGACACGGATCGCGATTTCGATCTTTTTGGATCTCATCAGCGCGTTACAGGCAGCTCCGACAGAACACAGACCAACTT